TTTAAAAAAATGAATTTTTTAACCATTTATCATCAAAATAAAAAAAAATTATATATATAATTCTTTATAGATTTTTCCGATCTATTTTTTTTTTTTGATAAAATGATCTTTAATAAATACAAGGTTAGATGTAATATTTTGCAGTAAAATTACGAAATCTGTATATTATGTATAATTAGATTTTATAATATTTAGAATTATATAGAAAATTCTTATGAATAATATTTTTAATTTTATAATGATGTGTCACATTTATCATATCAATTAATTCAAGCTATTTGATCTGAAACTAGTACTGTAATATGAATCTTAACAGTCACATTATTAAATTAAAAAAAAAATTGAAATCCAAATTAATATTGATAATGGGCTTTTGCTTTGGTATATCCGGTCATAGTCATTGGATATAATGACACAGATTTAACTTATAGTATCGATAAATTTTATACTGTACATTATTTATTTATTATACAGTATATAATATCGGGAAAATACATTTTATTGATTCATATTAGAATAATATTGCAATATTAAAAGCAAAAATTTTTAATAGTCTAAACAATAATAGTCTGAACAATAATAATACTATAAATATTTTCTGTTATAATATGTGGGTGGATTAATGGTTATCGGCTATAAAGTTTGCCACTGACGTAGCAAAATTTGATATTGTATGCACATTCTCTCAATCCACAACGGAGTGAAATGTGTTGACCGTTTAATTGCGTTCGGGTATAGAGATTTGATGATGGCGTCGCGTGGGTGTCATCGGCTCATCGTAAAACAGTGTGCATCAGTAATAATGTCGTTGGTTCTTCGGTTTCGATGGGATGGTGATGATAGGATTTTTTGTGATAATTCCCAGTCTTTGAGGCAACGGTTATGAGCCATCCATATTTTTTCGAATATATCCTTTGAATCGCTTGAACCATGTATAAAATAACCTTTTTTAATAATAAAATTTTTTTAACGTAACTTTGGACAAAGTCAATTGGAGAAGTAGGTATAAATTGATGAAATAATAAATAAATTAGATGAGCCGCTGTGGTAACAAGAAGGAATAAATATATCTTCGTCATTTCTGATTTAATAAAAATGGTGATAACGCTTCCTCGACAATGTAATCGTGAAGTGTAGTTTGATGAGAGGTTAATCGATCATAGTAGGACCGAAGCCTAGATGTTGATTCGTATCTTCAGCTTGGTGACAATTAGGGCATATTATAGTGTCGTTGGAGTATAGGTTTGGGTAGAGAAGTTTGAGGATATCGCCACATGCCCTATGAAAAAAAATTTCTTTAAAATATACTTAAAATGTACTTATATATTTTAAAATATATCTAAAATGTACTTAAAATTTTTAAATGTACTTATAATATACTTAAAATTGCAATTTTAAGTATATTTAAAGTATAAAATTTTATACTTAAATTACATTTAAAATATACTTAATTGCAATTTAAATATAATTTAAGTATAATTTAAGTGCAAAATTTTATACTTTAAATATACTTAAAATTGCAATTTTAAGTATATTTTAAGTATATTTTAAAATGTTAAGTATATTTTAGGTATATTTTAAAAATATATAAGTATATTTTAAGTACATTTTAAAGAATTTTTTTTTTATAGGGATGGTAAAATGTGGTTGAGACTTTTTATTTTGAAGGTGACTAATTTGGATTTTAAATTTCCAAATGGTTCCGTGGTGCTGTTATGGTGGATCCAGGATTTTGCCATGGTCCGTCATGTGTTGAGCGTATTTTCGTATATCTCAATAGGACTATAACGGTGTCATTAACGCGTCCGGGATAACCTTTGTATTGATGGGTCATGGGGATCGGTGGTAATAGTCAACCTTGATTGGAATATGTGTCAGCTATATCATTGTAGTGGTCGCCTTAGGTTCTTTGAAGAAATTAGTAAGTCGATTAGTTTGAAAATGTGGTGCGGTTATTTAGCTTTAATTTTCGTCTTTGGGAGGTTAATCTTTTTGTGATTTGTTTGAAAGTGTAAATAACGTTATGTATGTACAAATGTTAACGGAGCTGTTATTCGAACAACATATAAGAGCGGCGTAATTTTCTGCTTTGGTTGAAGACGGTAAATAAGGAGCTGCCTTTAAAACTAATTAGCGGAACGTCAGTAGATGATACTTCGATCCATACGAAACCAAGTTGAGATTTGCTGGAATTTGTGGTCATAGTGCTGAAGCCTGAAGGATCTGTCTGTATAAAATTTGTATGTTGAAAGCTCGCCGCTAATCGTATTGTGTCATGATCAGCTGTCACGTGTTTGCATTTTTATTATTTTTCAATATTCCGAAAACCCAACACTCGACAAGTACTCGGCATCAAATTTTGTCAGGTGTCCACACATTTGTAAAAACAGCTGTAAATACGGGTCAGGTTTTAAAATAAGGGGTATAATACGTCATCAATCATATAACATATGGAAAAAAATTGAATTATTAAATAATTTAGATTTGAATATTTGATACAGTACAAATAATTTTATAACTCTTGAAATTTCATTTTAGTCACATAAATAAAGAAAACATACGCTACCCTTAACCATAATTTAATTGTTATTCAAATCGGAAAAATGAAAGAATTTCGTGCACATTCAAATAATCATAAGCTCATTATCTTTATTCCAAAGGTTAATTTTCTGCTGGATGAATTAATAAAAAGAATAATATGTTCAAGTCACCAAATGACAATCCTAATGTTTTTGAAATAAAGTTAGGATATTTAGTAACAAACATTTAGAATTGTTTTGTATAATATCAAGTTAATTTTCTTTCTCATAAAGGTATAGATGGATTTTACGAATTGCTTCTTGAATATACAATGTTCAAGATGATTTAATTATTAAATAATTAAAGAACAAAAAAGCTGGTTTCAAACGAAATTACGTTCTTGACTCATATAATCTACAAAAAATTAAGCTTTTATGGATGATCTGCAGTAATTGTTTCCTTTTTTTCTTCCACATGATAATTTCACGTGATTAATAAAGGGTCCGTTTGCATTGTGCCATTGTGCTACCACAAATAAAATAAATAAAGTCTATTTTTATTTTTATTTTTTTAAAAAAAGCAAGATCAACGATAAAACTTTGTTATCAGGGTAATTTCTTTGTTTTTCATTTTATTTGTGTATTTACATTGTTATAATTTCCTTTTTTGGGTTCGCCTGAAACATATGGAATTAGTGTGACCGTTAGGATATTGATTTTCGTAGTATAATGAAGGAACTATATGAACTATATGCATAAAATTACTTTTTTACATATTATGAATATTAAGTTTATAATAATAAATATATAAATTAAAAATAAGTAGATGTTTGTTTCTCAATTTGAAAAAGAAAGGTTTAAATTCTTATTTTTTTCAATATATGTATCGCGTAAAACTATATCTCCTTAAAATCTTCTTGGCAAGGAAAGAACCTATAAATCATTATTGAATTCACTGTTTTACAAACTAAAGTTGCTATTTTTATAAAATTTTTTTATTATTGGTAAAAATTAATTGTTTTTATATGATATATAAATATAATGCATACAAATTCTGATTTTATTTTTCCTTAAAAGTATTAATAAAAATAAATCTTTTTTAGCCCCTATAAACAATTCATTCCTTGTTTTTCTATTCCATGTTATTTCCGTAAATATATCATGATATTCACGGAAATTATCTAAGTTGCTTAGATTTTTAATTATTTTTTTTCCGTAAATGTATCATATTCACGGAGTTTTTACAGAAAGAAATTACGGATAAAATTTTTTACAGGATAGAGAATAATACTTACATATATACAAATAGTTGTTCTAACGGTACACCGTAATATACATTAATTTTTTTTTTTAATGAATTGCGTATTAAATATATGGAATTTCTATACAGAATTTGTAAAAAATATGTCAAACGTATACCAAACATATCATTTCCATATACAGATTTCTTATAGGGAGGAGATGGCGTACAGGAGAGCCGCACTAATTTAAAAATAACGATAATATTGTTAACGAAGATATTTTATCATGTGAATTACGCTTACCTAGCAAACTAGAAATTCTCAATGCTATACAGTATAATAATATAACATTTGATTTTTATAATGGAAATTAGTCATTTCACATTTGTTCTATCGACAACACTGTGCGAATAATACACTTTTTGATAATAAAAATTCTTTTTCAAATTTTACATATAATAAAATCGAAGAATTTTAGATTACCCGAGGTGAAAAGCACCATGTGAGATTTAGCAATTCACTGTGAGCCATTTATCAAACAAAAAAAATCTGAAATTATTAATATAAACAAAGCGTATTTGAGATGTAATAATTTTATGTATATTATATTACCATATAAGTATTTTGATACTATGTTAAAAATATAAAATCTTTGTACACATACTAAATAATAGGTCAAAATTGAGTTATAAACCAATAATGAGAAATCATTATTCGATATCGTTAAAATTTTATTTATTAATTTATTCTATCAGCGTAAGCTTAAAGAGGATTTTTTTTTAAAAAAAAAGAAAATAATAATAATAATATCTGTTAAATCTTTAAGCAAAAAGACCACAATATTATATATTTATAATAACGTCAAATAAGTTCTTTTTGAAAAGGATGATTCCTTTTTTGAAGAATTTTCTCTATTTAAACTAGAAAGCGGAAAGCCCGAAATGCTGTTATTATTTGTACATCGTCACGTGCCGGACGAACATTTGGATTCTCCTTCTTTACACAGTAATGACGTTCTTTTTAGAAATTAGAAACGATCATCGCAAAATTTGTTTTAATAAACAGCTATGCGCGTACGTACGATTATGCATATTACACATATTACATTAATTGCATATTGCATATAAAAACCAGAGCTTATTGGTTTTATTTACTGGTATATGCTACCATGATAAATCCACGGACAATAAATTCCATGTAATACTTTAATAGTTCTTTCTCCGTCAACTTTGTTTCTTATTAGGTTCTCTTTTAGAAAATGAATTCGAAAGATACAGTGCAATACCAACATGAATATCCTCCTGTTCGTTTCAAGTTATTACGAAGTGCTTTTGAACCACGTTGTTCTAAACCACCAATATCAGATGATTTGGCCGATTCAGTGCGTGTTTCTACACCAGAACGTTCTAAAAACACGCAATCATATGATTTGGCCGATTTAGCGCGTGTTTCTACACCAGTTCGTAATTTTAATAGAAATTATTCTCTGATACTATATGATTATAATCATGCCAATGAAGGTTACCGACAAAGAATAAAGCCTAGTAGGTATGAACGAGAAATAAATAATGAATCATATCCACAATCACAAAAACTTTCTTTAGGGCGGTGTATGGAATGTCGAAAGTTATTTACTGGAAAGAAATGGTGTCGTCCTTGTAATTCTGTACATTTTTATAAACAAACTTCAGAATGGACAAGTTGGAGACTCGGTTTAGATAATTTAATCATCGAAACACAAATTACTGCAAATAATGTACATAGCTTTTTTGAATGGATCCCTTTCGAAAATTTTGATAACGTTACACCTTTAGCGAAAGGTGGAAATAGTAATGTTTATAAAGCTATATGGAAACAAGGTCCAATTACATATTGGGATACTAATACTCATAACTGGGAACGATTTGGTCGTCATGAAGTAGTATTAAAAGTAATAGAAAAATCTCAAGAAAATTTGGACGTATTTATTAATGAAGTAAGTACTATTGGATTTAATTTCTTTTAACTCTTATTTAAATAGATAATATTAATTTTTATAATTTCATAGCTTTCAGCACATCACAAATTTAGTACAATCATTGGACATATACTTCGTTGTTTTGGAATTTCACGTTGGGAAGACAAGGGAGACTTTATTATTGTAACATTACATGCTAAAGATGGGGATTTACGAAAATATATTCGTAAAAATTTTGAGAATTTTTCATGGATTGAACGTTTAATTACGCTTAAAGACATTGCTAAGGGTCTAGAAATTATCCATAACACTGGGTATGTTCATCGTGATTTACATACAGGCAATGTTTTAAGACATGGAAGTTGGGCAATGATAAGTGATCTTGGACTTGCATGGCGTCAAGATTCTGTATCAACAGGTGAATTAATTGGTGTATTACCCTATATGGCACCCGAACTTTTATCTGGAGGTCAGTATTCTTCAGCGTCTGATATCTATAGCTTTGCAATGATCATGTATGAAGTTGCAAGTGGAAAAATTCCATTTTACAACGAGGATATCAACGCTATTAACATTATTAAAGGAGCTCGACCCGAACTTCCTTCTGCAACTCCTCTTAATTATATCAAACTTATGAAATCTTGTTGGAATACTGACCCGAAAGAAAGGCCAATTGCTAGGAGTCTTATTAAGAGTTTTGATGAGTGGATTCATGATAGTGAAACGATGCAATTAACCGAAACTTATGATTCCTTCCAAAGTGCTGAAAATGAGCGAAAGAATTTAATTACTTATATTGAAGAAGATTACACTTCTGCTATTGGCCCATCTAGTCAATTAATTTCTATTAAATAACCATCGGAAACTTAACAGAAAAAAGATAACAAGTCTATTTTAATGAATATTTGAAAAGTTGAAATTAATTCGTGATTTGGATAAAACGAAAGAAGTTTTATGTATAACATATGTTGTATGTGGTTTCTGAATAAGGATCTTGGCCAGCATTACAAAATCCTAGTCCGGCACTATGCTTTAATTCTGGCCAACATCCCGTATCCACATATGTGGATCCGGAATCCACATATATTCCGTTTCCACTTACAACATATATATATTTCCATTGACATGTGATATTCTCTTTATAAAATTAATTTATAACTAAAATAAAACGAAAGAAGTTTTTTGTTTAATATATGTTGTATGTGGTTTCTGGATACGGATCTTGGCCAGCATTACGAAATCCTAGTCCGGCACTATGCTTTAATTCTGGCCAACGTCCCGTATTCACATATGTGGATCCGGAATCCACATAGATTCCGTTTCCACCTACAACATATATATATTTGCCATTGATATGTAATATCTCTTTATGAAATTAATTTATAACTAAAATAAAAACAAGTATATTAATTTTTTATCAGATAATTTGGCCGATATTTAAATAAATTCGTCTTATAAAAAGAGAAAGTTTTGTTGACCAGACTTATTTTATATGAATATTAAAAAATATCAATTCATTTACAAATTTCTTTAATTTTAACGTAAGAAAATATGGTAATTATAAAATAAACCTTTTTCTAGTAAAAAGGATAATTTTATATATATTAAATAAACATGTTTCTTTAAAACCTAATATAATACCTTGTCCCAAGTTTTCATAAAAAATATGACAGATGTGAATATAGTATGCAACATTTCAGATTAGCAGCAAAAATAATAAATGAATAAATTATTAATAATATATATTATAGTATCAACTTTCATAGCTACTTTATAGTTTATACTACTATTAATTTTTCATTTCATATCAATTTATGGAACTCAAATATATTACAATTACTGTTTATTATTTAACAAAATAGAATTATTTCGTACAGCTAGCATACAAGGACTCAGTGAAAAAGATTTATTTGCTTAAAAAACATTATTTTTAGTCAAATATTAAATCTAATTCTAACATGATAACACCTCTACAAACTCCTGGTATTAAGTCTCCTACAAAGGCAAATTTCTCTTTACCACCAAAAGTGACTAGTAGCTGTGACTATCTCATGTTGAAAGGTCTCTTTTTTTTCCAAGTATTCCAAGTATAATTCTGGAACTTTATAGTTTCAATTTTAATTTTTGATTTGGTAGTGACTCTGCTGGCAGTATTAATTGACTTACTAGTAATTTTACCATAATCTTAAATTGATAATTTGCTAATAAGGTGCATTATGCAAATGTTTCTCACATGCCATATGATAAAATTGGGAATATGACATATTTTTTCTGTCTCAATGTGGTAAATGTAGCATTAAGGTTTATAGCATCTGCCCCATTGGCTCAACTAGTATCAATAACTGGAAAGAAATCTTACTTTTCATACTATTGCTAGAGCTTTTATAGAGATTTATGATGATCCACTTACTTGGAAGAATTACTAGAGGTCCAGGATTTCAGAAAGCTGATTATTTTCTTTGAAAAATTGATTGAACCAATAACACTAGCTGAAAAATCAGGTGGGAATTCACAGTTAGCTAAGTCAATAGCTTTTGTTAACAGTTTATCTACATCTTGCTTATTAATTGAAGGGAAGATTTGTAATACTTTAAAAGTTTATAGGCTTTCTAATTGCAGTGTATACATGGTCTGCACCTGATAGTGATAATGATATTCCAAGTACCGCCAGTGTTGCATACATATTATTCTTCTCCAGCTTATTCTTATGATTGAGGATTTTTTTGTTAGAAATAATTCACTTAGTTTGGCTTTCTTTGAAACCTGTTAATTCAATTTTGGAATGATCCAGATGACTGGTGTTGCATTTAGATCTATGAAAATATCAGAACTGCCTGTTATAATAGTTATTTTTCACATGGCAAACTTTTGGTGATTCTAGTGTTTTCTTAAAGCAGTTAATAACTTTATTCATTTGTAAAGTTTCATTCTTGTCTTCTTAACCTCTTTTGAGAACTATCTTTCACCTTTAGAATTGGCAGATAACCCAAAATATTTTGGCATCAGGTTTATTTTTACATTGCCTAACTATATCTGATAGAACTAAGTGTCAAGTAAACAGAATGTCCACTGGTTCTTCTTGAATTATCAAGCATTTGAAATATAGATTTACTAACAATACATTCTTCCCATTGTGGTTATATAGTCCAAAGTTATTTGCTGTTTGGTATGTTTAGAAAACATTTGGAAAATGTCTAAAATGTCCAAAAAATATACTATTCCAGACATCTGGATAAAGTCCAATATGTGAAAGATTCCAGGTATTATCCAAATGTTATCTGAACAGCAAGAACAACTTCTGTCTGGATATATTCTGAAATTCCTTTTTGTAGGTATTATTTTTTTTACATTTTATTATCAGATAGTTATGAAACTGAGATCACCACAGGACTTTTTTAAGAGAGTTCTTCATGAATAGTACTTCTTATAGTAACCACTAATTATCAAATTCTTCAATCTAACTCACTTATAGGGAAAGGAAAAAGCCAAAGATGGCATCAAATAGGATAGTATGTCATGTTCATGTTGACCAATTATTACTAGTATGCAAAGGCTTACTATGATGTTCATCTAAGTTGAGTCATTATTTTACTTTATCTAATAGAAGTATATTAAGAGAGACCTTATGTATTCTTCAAATATTTAAGGTGAACTTTGATTGTACCATGCATCTTGTTGTCAGTGAAAATGTTTACTAACTTTGACTTTGTATTTTCCCACTTATTATTTATTTTATTAAACAAAATAAAATAATTTTTGAAAAAAAAACCAGATAAAAAATTTAAGAAATATAATTTCTGATTTTTTGACACATTGACTCATGCAAACTCTTAAGAAGATTCTTTTCAGAAAATTTGCAACAAATAAATTTTTGTACTTCTTTAGCAAAAACTAAATAATCAATTTTGAATTGTTTTATTGTTTGATAAAAGGAATCAATTTGTAGAAAAAATAGAAAACTATAAAAAGTTCACAAGAACTGATTATCAGTAAACAAGAGGTGTAATGAATCAGATATACTTTTGGACATCAAAAAAGCTGTAATAAGTTGATTATATGTTTAACAAATCTCTTTAAATTAGTTCATTGAATTAAATATGATTGGTTAAAAATCATGCAATTGTTCAAAAATTACCAATCAGAAGCTCTCCCTTTAATTTTTTAATGTTTAATTCCTTTGTTAAACTTATTTAGCAATTAATTGAAATGGCCTAATGCTGAAAAAAGATTGTCACACTGACATATGATACATTTCTTTCATCAACTGATAATTACGTACTGTAAGACATTTTACAGTTAGCTGCAGTATTAAATCTTTAATTGTTTAATTAATATTATTTATTTTATGGAGTTAGAAATAGTCTTCCCAGGAAATAAATTGGTAATACTTAGAAAATTAGCTCTTTACTAATAGTTTTTACCTTATTTCTTTCTTAAATTCTATTGGTGTTAAATTACTAATTAGTAGAAAATTGCTAGAATTCTAAGCATTAAGCTGCTAATTAGTAGAAATCTGCTGGAATTTTAAGGTATTAAACTGCTAATTTATATATATTTATATTTTAGTTAAGTAAATTTACACCTGAAGAATATCACTCATTAAATTTAACATGTGATTACTATTTTTAACTATTTTAAACTAAAATTAGTAATTTTCCAGCCATCAATATGAGACCAGGAAATAAATATAAACTCAGATAATCACTCGAAATTTTCAAATTTAGTATGAAGGTACATCATAAGGGAAAAGAAATTAAAGTTATATTTGAAAAAGCAGATCAAATATCTCAACTTCATATAAAAAAGTGATTATTGATACTGGATATAATAGTATAACATTTAAATTTAGTAATTCATTATTATTACTTAATAATGAAGGTATTTTCTAATTTAATTTTTTATTTTAATAAAATTTTAATCTAAACTTAATTTATACTAACTCCTGTTGATTGCTATGATTCTCAGGAGGAAAAAGCGTATCACGATTCACGATATGGATACTGTATTGGGTGTGCAACAATCATAATGCAGATCAGTGCATTGGAAATGATCCGGAAAAAAAAAATTGATGGTCAGGATTTCCGATTCTCATAATATTCAGGATACGGGATTCGAAAAAAAATTCAGTAAGCGAAATTAACTACTAAAAATGGGTGCAAATAACTGTAAAGTTAATCCAATTTATAATCAGAAAGAAACTTTAATTTAATAAATGATATCAATCAGAAAAGTTTGTTCGTATTATACCATGATATGAAATTTTGTTATCGTAACGCAAGTAACGCCAATTTACTCCAACCAGAAATAGTTAAAGGATATTTCGCCGAAAGGAAGCTCTGCCGAAAAATAGGGGCATTATGAATAAAGATTATTTTTCGGCTCAGCGAAATGTCCCGATACCACCAGAATCAGAAATATAGTATAATAAATTAAAGAAGTGAGAACCCAAATTTATAAAAAAATACCATACATTTTGTACATATTTATTTTTTATATTAAGAATCATTAATTTTAAGAATTATTAAATTTTAAAAATATAAATAAAAACATTAATTTTTACGATTTTCGCGAAATATTATTTGTCAGGATTCTGATCGTCAACGGCTCCAAAATTCATTTTTTATGCCGAACCAGATGATAAAATTTATTTTAGTTTTAGCTAGTTGTTAAAAGCTATAATAAAGTTTAAATGATAGTTTATTAAAACCTAAGTTTAAGTTAAAATTGATTTAACCACTACACAAAAGAATGTCTGTTATGGTATCCGAATCTTTGTTTATTATGACTAATATTTACATTAAAATTATTAATGATATTTCAAACGATTTATAATCTGCATGTTGTACGTATTGTAA